CGCAGTTCCCCCGGGTGAGGTACGGGGGGCGGGGCACATGACAAAGCCCCGCCCCCTGCTTCCGGCCGCCCCGCTTCTGGACCTCATTCAGCCAGGAGGAGGCAGGAGAAGAGGGAGGGGAAGTTGCTTCCTCCCTGCCTCTCCCCACCCCTGCCTGCCTGGGGCCAGGGAGGGCCTTCGCGGGGCTTCCTTGCACTCCCACCGGCCTTGCGGGTCCACCGCCAGGCCCCTCATGGGGCTCGGCAATGGAGCTGCAAGGCCGCCGGCGGCGGGTGGGACCGTTGGGGGCGTGGTGTGTGGCCTTATGACACACTTCCGGTGATGTCAGGGGGTGTGGCCTTATGACACACTCCCGGTGATGTCAGGGGGTGTGGCATATGCTAATGAGTTATGCTAATGAGTTCCCCTATCTCTTTTTCTACGAAACGACCCCTGGAGGTGAGAAAGTAGGAGAGACTAGAGCAAGGCTGGAGAACCCATATCACTCGGACAGCCATGTCTGTACTTTTAGTAACTTGGTAGGGCTGCACTGACATGTTAACCACAGGAAAATATTGTAACTATTGTACTGCAGTATTTTCTACTTTTAGCCCATTGTCTGCACATGCATAATGCATTCTCTCTCCTCTCCCAGTTCTACTTTGTGTCTCTGTTAATCCTGCCTTCTTTTCTCTTCTGTTCTGCAATGTGTACTCTTTTCTCACTTTGCATTTTATAACACACATGCACATATTTTATACTAATTCAGTGTAGTGCAGGATTCTGGTTGAAACTAGTAGACATTTGAAGCAGTGGAATATCTTTGGCAAGTCCAAGAGGGCTTATGGTAATGAAAAACGTTACTGTGCTTTTCCAGGATCTGTTTCCACTAACGCCAAAAATAACCAGATTCCAGCCACTGTGTTTTCTGAAGAAAAAGAAGTTAAAACCATCAAGGGCAGGGTTTACAAACAGGTTGTGTGACATTCTTGCAGACATTCCATTCCTTATGTTTGAACTAAAGACTGGTTTTGAGGAAAGGCTGTTGCTGGGTGGATCCAAGTGCAATTCGGTTATTTTCTGCCTGTAATATGATCATAGCATCAAATAAATATCATAGAAACTATAGCAACATGCCACTATACTGTGTACACACTTTAAAAACTCATATGTCTTTTTGGCAGAAAACTGACAACTTTGCTAAGGAGTGATTTGCAGTTTCCTCTACCGATAAGCTAATAGTTGCCTGTCTAAGAGATCTGTTTTAAGGCTTTTAATTATAATGGTAATGAGCTGTCTAATAAGTAGCTTAGTAATACATTGAATTATAAAAATTCTGCTTTCACCCATCCCTCTTAGGCTTCTCTCTGTGGCATGACAGTATACAGGGACTCGACAGTTCTTAGCAAAAGCAAATGAGAAAATTCAGCACAACAGCATCAGGGTACGCCAGCAATATAACATTCATTGTAGGGTTTTGACTATTGATCCGTATAGGTGTGTTTAAGGTAGTTGTATGTAAATTAAACCAGGGACAGATGTGTTTTCTTAGAATTACCACACACACACTAGACGTTTGCTGTTCTGTAGTGCACCATTTAGAGATGGATAACTATTTCCATGGCCACAGTCTGAAGAACTATGCAGCTGGCTCAGTGCGCCTTTGCTACTGAATTCTCTTTCTCAAGCAGCAGTTCCTCATGCTGCACGACACGCCATGTTTGAACTGGGGGGATATTCAGAAGTAGGAAGCAGTGTTCCCTCTAAGCTGAGTTAGTGTGAGCTAGCTCACAGTTTTTTAGCCTCCAGCTCATACCTTTTTGTCTCTGCTCAGGAAGGACGGCTCCAGAGCAAACTAATTTATGCAGTAGCCAAATCACGTGCTCACAACTTTAATGCCAGTTGCTCACAAAGTAGAATTTTTGCTCACAAGATTCCACAGCTTAGAGGGAACATTGGTAGGAAGGGGTGAGAGGGTCTACTGATTCAAGAAAGGAAGTCAAAAGTTCTCTTAGGGGTGCTCTAACACTTGAGCTTACTTACAGTGCAAATCCTAAGCAGAGTTACACCTTTCAAAAACCATTGAACTTGGTTTAGGATTGTACTGTTAAATTAGTTCTCTGGGCTGTGGTCCTTATCTTAAAATAATGCTCCTTGAATTAATAAGTATACTGAAACACCGATGTCTGTTAGCAAAAACATTTATGCATTGCATAACATGTACATGCTTACTTGAAGGGTTTTTTTGTTTTCTATTTTAAAAAACGAGGCATTTGTGGGTACCAACATCATTGCTTTTGAGAATTACCTCTTATGCATCAACACAACTATATAGTTATGTGTAATTGTAAATAAAAACATACATCAGATGGGTAGGAAAAAGTCCTTAAAACTACTGAATACATTGGGTAGGATTCTACCAATATTTCCCTAGTGCAAGAGAAGAAGGGCGAATGGGCCAATTCCTCGCCTCACTGCAGCCACTATCCCATGTGGTTTTTTTTTGTCCATCTGGATACTACAATCCCTAGGATAGCCTTTTTACTGCTTGAAAGGGGTCTTTCCTCCTTGTACTGTTGGAAAAACTGGTAGGATCAAATATTTTCAAATTGTATTTCTCTCCAGCTTTCCAAACAAAAACTCAGACGAATTTTTAAAAAATATAAATAACATTACTTTCAAAACACACATGAAGCTGACTTATACTTAGGGGTTTTCTGCTCTGGATTGGGAAGTACCTGGATATTTTGGGGGCGGAGCCTGAAGAGGGGAGGAATCTTAGCAGGGTGTAATGCCATAGAGTCCATAGGGTTGCCAAGTCCTTACCTTATGAAGAGCGGGGGAGTCCAGCGCTGGTCCGGGAGTCCTTGTTCTTAGCAAAAGCAAATGAGAAAATTCAGCTCAACAGCATCAGGGTACACCAGCAATATAACATTCATTGTAGGGTTTTGACTACCGCGCCGGTCCCGGAGTCCCGGAAGTGACGTAATCGCGTTGGGCACATTGGGGGTGGGGCCACAATCATCCGAGGGAAAACTATAGAGTTTCCCCTCGGATTATTGTGGCCCTGCCCCCAACATGCCGGATGCGATTACATCACCTCCGGGTGGCGTGCTCACGCTGGGCACGTTGCGCGCTTTGGGGGTGGGGTTCCCCCCGGGGCCTGATCCACCGGTGGCGGGTAATGGGCCTCTCGGGCGGGGTTTTCCCCGCCCCCCGGGGGGACTTGGCAAGCCTAAGAGTCTACCTTCCAAACCAGCCATTTTCTCCCAGGGGACTGACCTTGGTCAGCTGGAGATCAGTTGTAATAGCGGGAGATCTCCAGGTGCCACCTAGAGGTTGACACAGAAAGTATTGAATCAGACCTATCTGTCCATCAAGGCCAGTATTGTCTATTCAGACTGGTAGTGGCTCTCCAGAGTCTCATCTATAGGTCTTTCACATCATGGCCTAATCCTTTTAACTGGAGTTGCCAGGGATTGAACCTGGGACCTTCTACCTACAAAGAAGAGGCTCTTCCACTGACCCACTGGCCCTCCCCTTAAATAATGTCAGAATAATTTTGAAAAATACAAATAACATTTCAGTTTCAATATATAACATTCCTTGGGAAGGGGATTATTTTCTAAGATGAATCCTGCCTGCTGCTTTTCTCTCTTTCTGACTTTAGCCACAGTTCATTGAGGGGAATAACAGACATGCGAGAAATATCCTAGGCATATATTCAGATTACTCAGTCTGCACTTTCTACTCTAGCAGCTCATGGTATTGAACCTTCAAACCACATTTGAAGTTTCCATAATACTTTTTTTAAGGGGATTATTATCAAGATTGAATTGCTGAACAGTAAGTAAATGCAGAATACATCTGTGCAGAGGCTGTTCTGGTGGATAGTTGCCTAAGAATCAAAACGTTGATGTTCACCTGCAGTAAATAGTCCAGCAACCTGCTCCTGTGTCTGCTTCTGTCCCAATGAGTTCATAGGAACTTATTTCTTAGCTATAAGCAGCTTTGTAACTTAGTTTAAGTGCACCCACTAGTTAGGCATTAGAAATGGCCATTCATCTGATACTAACAAGAAGGCTAGTATGTTCAGAATAATTTAAAAAAAAGTTGAAGAAATTTGCAAACTTAGTAGCAGAATTGTCAAGTGTAAGCCAACTGATGAAAATACTGCTTCTTAAAATACATACTGTGTGACTAACCTTCCTTTTAACATTTTCTAGGTGAAAGACCATTCAAATGCCCTTTTGAAGGATGTGGGAGGTCATTCACAACATCTAACATTAGAAAAGTTCACATCAGGACGCATACAGGGGAAAGACCCTATTATTGTACAGAGCCAGGATGTGGGAGAGCCTTTGCCAGTGCAACTAATTACAAGAACCATGTGAGAATACATACAGGTATTTGAGTTCTGTTTTATAGAATTTTGCTTATAATCATCAGGCTTTGTATGTGGTCTTCATGGTTTGTGTGGGAGGTATTACCGGGGCTACTTTGGGGCAGGAACGCACAGGAACGGAGTTCCGTCTGGCTTCAGAGTTGGCCACGCCCACTACAGCCAAAACCTCTGCGTGCCTGGCTACAGAGGGAAGGCCTGGAGAGCGACCCCCCCAATGACTCCAAGGTGGGCGGGCCAGGGGGGGCCCTGGAAGGATCGGGGAGGCATTTAAATGCCTCCCCATGCCTTCTCTGGCCTGTCCAAGGGCTGGCTTGCCCAGGCTTCCCATAGCCATGGGGCGCCCAAGCAAGCCAAGGGAAGGCATGGGGTGTAGCGTAATATGCTAATGAGCTGCGCTGTCAGGGGTGTTGCCTAATATGCTAACAAGTTTCTGCTGTTGGGTGTGGCCTATTATGCTAATTAGTTCCTGCTGGGCTTTTTCTACAAAAAAAGCCCTGGGTATTACATAAAACAGCTCTGAACAAAGCTGGATTCATTGGAGGCGGGTACAGGTTCCCACTTAATCTAGCAATCTTTGGGATAGCCCTGTGCTTCTGACAGAGAAATTCCATACTCTTAGTTTAGATTAGAATGTCGTTGCTCAGTTCCTTGTTGTTGTTGTTTTTGAAAAATGCATGTAAGAGTGTGGCATTTCGGCTAGAACTGCAATTCCCAAGTCTGAGAATACGAACCACATTGTGAAAAGATTACATATGCTAAAAGGTTTTATGGTGGTGAAGAAAATTCTGTGAGTGACTGATTGGAGCTGAGCTGTCAAAGACTGAGACTACCATTGGTAAAGGGATGTAAAGGATGCTCATTGCTATTGGCTGAACTGTCCGGATTGTATGAGTGTCCGGTTACTGTTGGCTGAATTGTTCTTACCAAATAGAAGGATAGAAAAGCCAGCAGGTCCTAGAAGAGGAAAGGGTAGAGGAAGTAAGGCTCTAAGAAAGGAGTGCTGGAAAAGGGTTGGTCTAGAAGAGTAGTTTGCGTGCAGAGGCAGAGCTGGAAAACAGAAGGGCATGTGTCCTGGAGCAGTAGGGGTTAAATTGGTTGAAGTTCATATATTCTGAAATATTATTTGGCTTATACTACATTTGAATATATCATTCCAAGTAAAGAAAGGAGGGTTGGTTGCTGTGAATTTTCAAACTGTGAACATAACGCAGCATAGATCCCAAAAGCATCCTTGTTGGTCCTCCTTGTCTCTTGTTGGCTTTAAATACCATTGATCAGGGTATTATTCTGTATTGCCTGGCTGAGTTAGGTCTGAATGGCACTGTTTTGTGGTTGCTTCCTTCCTTCCTTTAGGATAGGTCCCAGAAGGTGATGCTGGGACATCACTGCTCTACTATGCGACCTTTGGCGTAAAGAAATAAATGGCTTGGGACCACAATAACTAGTGGAGTATTTGTTCCTCTCTAACGTTCCCATTTACTGTGCTCTGTAAAATGAGCCCTGCTGTAGGTTGTCATCTGGCTGGGGAAGGACATTTTGATTGTTTTCTGTTTCTGTCTTTGGAAACTGGATATGTGGCACTTTGGCTGCTTCTTAATTTGCTTAATTTTATTTTATTTGCTTTATATATTTTAATCTAATGCAAAATACCCCAAGGATCCATTTCAGGATGAAAGGGCAGTAAAAAGTAAAGGTAAAGGTTCCCTTGCTCGAAAGCCAGTTGAATCCGACTCTAGGGTTGCGGTGCTCATCTCCATTTCAAAGCCAAAGAGCCAGCACTGTCTGAAGACGTTTCCGTGGTCATGTGGCCGGCATGACTAAACACCAAGGCGCACGGAACGCTGTTACCTTCCCACTGAAGTGGTACCTATTTATCTACTTGCAATTTCTTGCTTTTGAACTGCTAGGTTGGCAGGAGCTGGAACTAGAGATGGGAGCTCACTCCGTCATGCGGCACCCGGGTCTTGAACTGCTGAACTACCGACCTTCCACAGCCTGCAGTTCAGCGTCTTAACCACTTGGGCAGTACATGAATACTATTAAGAAATGAATGGCTATTTTTATCTATATTTGAACCACTGTCATTTTTAATATATAATTGCGCATGATTACAAATCCTACCATACAAAATAACTGTTACTTGTTAAATGGCTTTTGCACATTATATACGAAAGGCAAAAAGAGTTACCGAGACTGACTTGGAAAAACATGCTAAACTGAATTGCACTGTGATTCAAAACATGGTACGATTATAATAATAATGATAATAATTATCAATGATAATAGAAGTATGTCAGCATGTTTCTGCTATCTGATTTCTATCACATCATGCTCAGTTTCCTTCACTACTTGTATCTTTCTGTCTAGGGGAGAAGCCTTATGTATGTACGGTCCCTGGCTGTGACAAACGCTTTACAGAATATTCCAGTTTATATAAACACCATGTGGTACATACGCATTCCAAACCATATAACTGTAATCACTGTGGGAAAACATATAAACAAATTTCTACACTTGCAATGCACAAGCGGACAGCACACAATGATACAGAGCCAATAGAAGAGGAACAAGAAGCATTTTTTGAGCCACCTCCAGGTATGTAGTTAATGCTTGCTATCCACCAAATTTTCTATCATATTAGCAACCTCACCTATTGTATCTTGCTGATACATTAATATATCTTAACTATGACAGCTAAAGCAATGGAACTAAGTACCATCCACAGGAGCACTGATTAATTAAAATTATTTTATTTTCACTGCCTGACAGCAAGTACAGATTCCAGTGACTACCAAAGGATAGCATTTGGATATAAAGACATAGATCCCAACAGAGTGATTATTTTTGTAAACCTCTACCATGTCTCCACCTCAACAATTTCCCCCCCTAAACTAAAAAAGTCCATTAAAAGGAACATGCTCCATTCCACCCTTTGTCCTTTCATGACTACTGTGTCCTTGAGACGGGGTGATCAGAACGGTACTTAGTATTCTAGCCGGAGCTGTATGAAATATTATATTATCCACTGTAAGCTGATATGAGTGTTTGTTTAACATGAACGTTGCAAATAAATAGATAACATCATGAGGATTTTTTATCCCAGTGTGCATGAATTTACGCTTACTGTAGTGGAAAGAAGGGACTTGGCCCAATACCGATAGAGATAGCACACACTGAAGCCCTTTTAAAGTAATCTGTTGGTTCTAAGGGCTACTTACAAAAGAAAGATTAAGAGGAATGTTTACATTTTGACTGGAGTTGAACATTACTTAAGATACTATCCTATTTCATCACCATCACACAATAGGGGGCCTCTTTCCCCCCCCCTCCGAAGGATGGAGAGAGTTGACAAAGAGACATTTTTCTCCCTCTCCCAAAATACTAGAACTCAAGGGCATCCAATGAAGCTGATGGGCAGTAGGCTCACGATGGACAAAGGAAAATACCACTTTACGCAGAGAGTGACCAAAATATGGAATTTGCTGCCAGAGAATGTAGTGGTGACCACAGGAATAAACAGCTTTAAAAAGGTGATTAGATTCTTGGAGGATAAGTCTATCAGTGGCTACTAACCATGGTGACTGAGGGGAACCTCCACATTCAGAGTCACTAAGCCTCTGAATCCCAGAACCAGGAGGCAACATCAGAAGGTCTCAGACTCTATGCCCTGTTGTTGGCTGCCCAGAGGAACTGGTTGGCCACTCTGTGAGAGGATGCTGGATTAGATGAACCATTTGTCTGATCCAGTTGGACTCTTCTTATGTTATATTCATCAATTAAAACAATTTTAATAAGGCATTGATGATATTTATACCCAAATGTTAGTAGAAAAAGATTCACAGAGACTAAATTGCAGCTTTAGTTTATTTTAGACTATAATTTTTGCAAATATGGTATGAATATCAGAATATGTATTTTCTTTTATACATATAACGCAGTTCCTCCATGAAGGATTAATTGTCTCCCTATTAGCATAATTTTAGGCTACATGTAAACTAAGTTCTTTCTTTAATCAAATAGGTCAAGGTGAAGATGTACTCAAAGGATCGCAGATAACATATGTAACAGGCGTAGAAGGAGATGATGTTGTTTCTGCACAGGTTGCTACAGTGACTCAAACAGGGCTCAGTCAGCAAGTGGCGCTTATTTCCCAAGATGGAACTCAGCATGTAAGTATTCAGCAAGTCAAAGCCAAACCTGCAAAATGGGTTTCAGCAGGGCTATTTTTGGCCAGGAACGCACAGGAACGGAGTTCCGGCTGGCTTCCGAGTTGGCCACGCCCACTACAGCCAAAACCTCTGTGCATGCGTGGCTACAGAGGGAAGGCCTGGAGAGTGGCCCTCCCAGGGCATCTCCAAGGTGGACGGGCCGGGGGGGGGGCTGGAAGGATCGGTGAGGCATTTAAATCCCCCCCCTGGCATTCCCTAGCCTGTCCAAGGGCTGGCTTGCCCGGGCTCCCTGCAGCCACGGGGCACCCAGGCAAGCCAAGGGAAAGCAGTTTAAACTGCTTTCCCTTCCCTTCAAGGGGGGGCTTGCCCAAGCTCCCCACAGCCACAGGGCACCAGGGCAAGTCAAGGGAAGGCATGGGGTGTGGCCTAATATGCTAATAAGTTTCTGCTGTTGAGTGTGGCTTATTATGCTAATCAGTTCCTGCTTGGCTTTTTCTACAAAAAAAAGCCCTGGGTTTCAGAATTTGAAATATTGCTTACATTTAATTATCTCATTTCTTTACACATAGAAATATTGGAATCAATAAAGTATAGCTTTGCAATGTCACAAATAATTACCACTGGCTTGGCAAAATCTATAACGATATTGTTGATATTGTCCCGCAGAAAGATAAGTTACATATGCCTGGTGGTTCCAAATTTTCTTTCTGCAATTTATTACTGCCTAGTTACTGCTACTGTTAGGATAAGCTTCAGTCATGTTAGGGAGAAAAGGAGATAGAACTGTAGTGATTGGATCTGGAGGTGCTCTTGCATGAATAGCTGTTTTTTCCACTGCTGCAAGGAGGGGTCTGCACTTATAGTGGATTTCTCACTCAAGCCACAGCCCCTCCATGCTGCAGCCCACACTGTTGCTGATAGTACCTGATGAACTTGGGGTTTTTTTGTGCAACAGAGGCTGCAAAAAATTCTTCCAGTATCTTTTATCCTTTTTTATTTTGACTATTAGATACTGAATTAGTGGCGAGTCTTGCCATAAAGACTTTTAAATATAGTAATATCTGATAACTATCTAAAATATACATTGGAACATTTTTAATAAGTGGAACCTCTACCATAAGGTTCTCAGTTATGAAACCAGCCTAATATAGAGAGTTTAGCAAAGTTACTGTGAAGTTTTGTCTCTTATTTTTGTTCTTGTTCGCAAATATCTTCTAACAGCTACTTAGGCTTTTAAAACACTTGGGGATTATTTCAGTTGTTACTTTAATGGTTTAACTCAGGGGTGTCAAACATGTGGCCCAAGGGCTGGATCAGGCCCCCGGAGGGCTTCCATCAGGCCCACAGTGGAACTGGCCATCTCCTGCTTCCAGTTCTGCTGCTGCTGCTGCATCATAGCTTGCTTTGCCAGACTCTCTCAATCGCTCAGCCATTTCATGTTTTCCCGTGGGTCCTAGACTCAGAACTCTGAGCATGAGATTTCTGTGGTGAATGTCAATAAATCAAAAGTAGGTTTGCAGCTTACAGAGCTAATGTTTTAAGCATGTTTTTGTTTTAAGTAAAAAAACCCTTTGTGTTTGTGTCCTTTATAAAGTTTATATCTCCACTACCTGGCATTACATTTTATGACACACATGGCCCGGCCAAACAAGGTCTCAGTTATGTCAGATCCGGCCCTCATAATAAATGAGTTTGACATCCTTGGTATAACTGAACACACTGATGGTTGAAAACAAACAGTGGCTTGGATCCAACAAAGAATTTCCATGAACAAAAGGATTTCCACTCATGGACCTCAAATCTTTCACCTGTCCCCTCCCGCTGCAACTCAAAATGCCCCCCATGCTGTTTTTGGGGTGCAGGGGTAGAGAAGAACATTGAGCTCCATAAGGAGAAATCATTCCATCTACAGAAATGCTCTTGTGGATCCAAGCTAATGTGATGAAAGTCTAGGGCACAAATGTAGTACTTGTTAGACTGATTAACAATTTATGTTCTGTTTCAGGTTAACATATCTCAGGCTGACATGCAGGCCATTGGAAATACAATCACTATGGTAACACAAGATGGCACGACCATAACAGTCCCTGCCCATGATGCAGTTATTTCTTCTGCAGGGACGCATTCCGTTGCAATGGTTACAGCAGAGGGCACTGAAGGACAGCAGGTAAAAAAACCCAGTAAATATATTTGTATGTAGAAAAAGCACAAGGTGGTGTTATCTACATAATCTGTCTCACAAAATATTTAACAGAATTTTGCAGCCTGTCCAGTTAAATCTGTGGACAATCTGCAGATTTAGTAACTAGAATATACTTTCTTAGCTGTGTAGGAATTTAAGTTATGAAGCTCCATACATTGTGCCAGTCTACAGAACTGTGATATTATTAATATATATAATTGTATTTTGGTGGTGGCACTTTGCAGCTTTCCCATTGGCTGTGCAATGCGCTCCCTCAGCCATTGGCCTGTCTGCTGCCACTCATAAGTACTCATGTGCCATTGGCTGGGTGCTGGGTCTGCTCCTCTTCCCCACCCACTCCCCCTTCAGGCACTGTGCCCTGTCAGAATTACTGGCAAATGGCTTTCTCTCTTCACGAAGACGCTTTTCCTGCTTGCCTCCTGTGTGGGACTAATTTTCCCCTCAGTAGCTGTTGGTAGGTGTAATGAAATGGCAGTTACCTGTGTTTGTAAGATAGCTATGGTTCTTTGTTTAAAATGTTCCCCCATAAGGTTTAATTGAGCTGTAGTTCCAGAGAGGGTCCTGCAGGAGTATCACTCACTGGGTTGAATGGGGCTTCCTCATCTGCTGGCCTACAGTTCCCAGCTGCCCCAAGGCCAAAAAGTGCAGGAAAACAGGGACTGTCCCAACAGGCGGGGTGGCATCAATGTAGACTGCAGCCCATCCAGGGAGGAGGCAGTCTTCGTCCCTGGGAGGCAGCAGAAATTCAGCCACTCCACAGTTTGCTGGACTGGGGAATGAATGGAAGTTTCCCTGCTCTCTTGGGCAAGAGAGAGAGGCTGAAGTAGAGCCAGAGGCCGGTCCAAAGAGAGATCTGAGCCCACAACCTCCAGAGGTAGAGAGTATTGGGTGTAG